TTCATGAAATCCTGTCGTCTCCCCCCAGTAAATTTCTATCCTCGACCTATCCACGACTCGCCATACCGATAATCCTACTACTTAATTTTTTTTTTCATTTTCCTTCTATCGTTACGTCCATCGATTTGATATAGTTAACCCTTTGCACTCGACAAAATGAATGGAAAATTAGAAATTCCTAGTGCAAAGGGTTAAAATCGTTCTAGACGAGGGAAAGGATTTCGATTCCAGTGATGGAATATAAAGATTGTTTTTTTTTTCCTGTCGGTGAAGTTTTTCGTAGTAGAGGCTCGTAAAAACGCACGTCGTCCTCGTCGGTGTGTCGTGGACGCGAGCATGTGACCATGCGTGCCGATGTATGCTCGCTCTATAAATAAATAGGCGACGGACATCTTGTACCGAGCTATCTTTCTCTCTCTATCTGTTCGTCAGCCACCGTGGTGCCCGCTTGTATGCTTGATTTTCATTCGTACAGCGCAGCGGGCCGAATACCTGAAACGAATATATCTCTCGTACCTGCGATTAATTCCGTCGCCCTTCTACCGTGGATCTTCCGAAAGGAAACGAAAAATCGTTTCTGTTCAGTTTATTCGAATAAATCGAAACTTTACCCGTTTGCCTGTCGTCGTATAAGGGGGATGCAGAAGACAAGGGGGTTGTGACTGGTATCGTATTGGAGGTTAAATGGGAAAAAACAAGGTTAATCTGGCTATCCAAAACTTGGGGGCGACGGGGAATTAGATCTGGGTTAGTTGTCTTGACCCATTTGCGACCGTCGAAACGTTCGAGAATCGGGGTATGAAATTGATATTGATTAGATTTATGTGTATAATATATGAAAACAAAGGAAACGCGATAATTTCTTTGGAGAAAAGAGGAATTAATCGTAGGATTAATTCCAGAGGATCTTTAGCGATCCTTGTTTGAATATTCTCGATTTCTTCGTTACGAAAATAATTAAGAATTTACTGACCAGTAGCTTATTAATAGATGTTTAAATATCAGTGTTTATAGATGAGAAGTCTGTTCAATTTACCTGTAGATCATGGTTAAAGCAAAGATGGGCAGAATTTTATTCGAATAATTATATGGTGAAAAGCATCAGTACCTTAGATCGTCTTCCTGACCTTTAAGTAGATCATGAGATTAAATATATGTTTGCCAAGTGTCTATTCATTCAAGAGGAAATATTATTTTAGTATATACAAATTGCAATTGCCACGTTCAATCAATGAAAAATCACGAACAAACCTTGTTTCATGTTTTATTCGTTATTCGAAACTTTTTACCACCATACGTCGTCTTCGTCGTCGTTCGATTTTACAGTCGTGTTCTGGCGAAACGTTTTACAAAACGTAATTTGTTTATAGGTTATCGCTGCATCCGTCTGAATCCAGGCTTCGAATAAACTATATCGATAAGATATACATATACACTGGTGAACTACGGAAATGGTCCGCTGAGTCGGCCTCGACTGACGTACATACAAACATATAGTACATGCAAATATGCAAATATGCACTTTGAGCAAAAGATATCACTGATTTGCCGTAATAAACGACATAACTGAATATTTCCAGTTTTTGAGTTGTTAAAAAAACAACACTGGTTTATCTGTACTTTTTATCAATTGAATCCCTTAAATCAGCTTCCATAAGTTAGGAGTACGTGACAGTCACTAAATTGTAGCAGACAACACATTCGAACCTTGTTTCTCCTGAGAACCCTGAATCTTTGAGTTTAGGGTAGATGTGAGGTAGTGGGAAATGGATTATTCGAGAAGTTCAAATGGAAAACGATGACAGCGTGAATTCATTGGGATTTTACGTTTGTAATATTGATGATTTTACGTTAATAATATTTCAAATAATATCATTTCAGACGTGATCACAGACACGGGAATAATTCTGAAACAAAATACCATGTTATTTGAAATAATATTTAAAATAATAGAACAAACAGAAATAATATTTCAAATAATATCATTTCAGACGTGATCACAGACACGGGATTAATTCTGAAATAAAATACGATATTATTTGAAATAATATTTCAAATAATATCGTTTCAGAAGTGCCCGAGACTGATTCGGCTCGCTGTGCGCGTCGTCCTTGTTCGTATTATACGCCGGGTGGCGTCGAGGTGGATCGTTCCCGCTCATCATGGATCCACATAGAGTGTCAACAGATCTCTATCTCTCTTTATTCTCTCCCACTTTGTATCTCTATCTCTATCCCGTCGTTCTCTATTATTGTTTCAAGACCGTGGAGTGTATCTGTTCGGCCTCCGAAAATCTCTGCGTCGCGGACGGCCTGCACACGCACCTGTCCGACCGCCACCGGCGGAGACTAATTTTGCTGGTGGCGGAACTCTATATCGTCCCGGCGTGGATATATATCCCTCTGGGTCTCTGCACACGTACAGTGTCGCAATTAATTTCTCGGAAAACCGAAGCGCCCCGGGATTGCGCAAAAACGCCGTCGACGACGACGACGACGACGTGGACGATTTTGGAGCCGATTTTCGCGTCATCAACCTATCGAGTCACGTGCCCCCTCTCTATACCTGGTCAGCTATTATTTTTACATCGTTGCAAACCTTCCTCCCTCCCCTTCCTAACATACAGACAGAGAGAGACGCGATCCGAGCGAGATCCATTTCGCAACGTCGTGAAACGAACAACGTAGAAGCGCCTCCCGTGGATGAATAATTCGGCGAACGTTGATGAATCGTTGATAATTCTTTTTCTTTTTAATTTTTACCAAGTCCCGACGATAAATCACGAGGTATTCTTCTACGAGTTGATTTTCGTCCGGACGAATTCTCGAGGGAAATTTAGAGAAAATTGCACACCGAAACTATGAAAAGCCACATCGAACATGCTGGAAAATTCGATTGTGAATTGAAATCTCCTGGACGAACTGAGAACTCCTTCAATGTATAGGAATGCCTCCGAAAGTTATACAGGGTGTCTCAAAAAAGCTTCGATTCCCGGAAATGAGGAGTTTCTGGGATGATTTGAAACAACTTTTTCCTTAGCTAAAATGTTCTCCGAGGCTTTGTTAACGAGATATTAACGAATCTTCTCGAAAAGAAAATATCTCGTTAACAGAGCCTCGGATAACATTTTTGTTAAGGAAAAAATTGTTTCAAATCACCCCACGAGTCACCCATTCCAGGGACCTACAGCATATTTGTCACACCCTGTATACTAAACAGATCGGGTTCTGAACTGATTTGGAATCGTAACGATGAATGTTTCCGCTATAGCAATTGTTTATCAACAATCTGCCGCGTAAGCAACTCGAAATACATCTAAAACCAGCGTGTCCAGATTGAGGGATTTTTATGAAAAATGGCGGCCTGGTGATAGGTTATGTTATGGTTTCCATTACTTTAGTTTTTCTCTTTACTTTACTTTCTTTACTTTACTCTTTTTTTACTTTACATTCCCCCACTACCCAAATAACACCATCCGCCACTTTCCCTCGTTAAGGGATTTTTTATCCGCCCCGCTGATCTAAACAAGCGTCACCCTCCTTTTCACGGTGCGCAACGAAGACGTCGAGTAGACCGTATCGTTCCGAACGGCGATACAAAGGTTGTGACTCGCAATTAAAAATAAACCACGGTGGAGTGAACGTGTGTTTGTTAACCGGCTATTTATAGCGCGTCGATGTGCGGCGTGATCTTCCCGTGTTGTTCCCGAACAGAGAAACAAGAGTGCAGAGAAAGCGTAACACGATTGTCGAAATCGGTTCCATATCCGAAATTTCCGAACACACGATCGATCCCCATCCCCGGGTAAGATCGTTCTCTGTTAAGAACTGTTCGAGGAGCACACGTTCATCGGGAGCTCGTCGTGTGTATTTCGGTGATACTGTTGCGTAATGAGATTTGCGCAAGCACGCCCGTCCGTCCGTTCGCGATATAAAACACCGTGTGTGACAGCGAAGGTGAGACGGGGGACAGTGGTGCAAAATGATTTATTCCTTTTTTTTCTCAGATCAGTCACATATGGCCATTAGTTTTTTTTTTTTTTATTTTTGACATTGTCCCCATACTTTTGGCAGGTATGTGTGTATGTATCCTCACGAACAAACTTGGCTTTCGCTAGGGGAAAAAGTGAGTAGTGGAAGGACTTCCTACCACTTGGTAAATTTATTTCAAGTACTCAAATAAATGTTAAATCGAATGTTGATTTGGCATAAATTTCAATAATCTTCGATAGTAATATACTAATATTTGTGTCCATACTTTTAAATTCAAATATCGATATTTTATATCGTCCAGAAAATTCTAAATCCCGACGGATAAAATATATATTAATAGAAACTAGTTAAGTTAAGTTAGTGCCCAGTGATAGAACTTGGAATTCTGAAGCCAATGATACTTGTTTTAGCCGCATACGGCCATTAGTTTATGAAATATTTAATGTTCAGTGCCGAGGGAGCCTTCGAGCACTCATCGAGGATTTACTGTAGCGCGTGCGGGCATGATCAGAGACCCTTTCTGTTCCAAAATATTGATTTATTTCTTTTATTAGTTTGTTATTTATTTTTTTCGCGGAAAGAACACGCTAATTTCGAAATGATTGTCCAATTGATATCATTTAGTATTTATGGGATACACACAATATTTACGTTTACTGGATAGACTGTTTTCAATGTAACATTTTGCAGAATTTTAAGATAATATTAATTCTTTTTCAGAATCGACTGAAATTGTACTATTAAAACGTTTTAAACGACTGAAATTGTAAAAAGAAAGATATTTTTGAGAAGATTTTATCGCCGCTTTGACGCTCTTGTAGCTTCTATCGCAGCTCCAATATAAACGTACCCTTCGTCGTGTCGCCAAAACTCTTTCCTGCGTTCGCACGAATCCGCGAAATTGATATCGACGCGCAAATAATTCGAATAGCCGACTAAAAATAGTCTGTCTGTCCGACTGATTCGAGTCACCTTTTTTAAACGGTCTGTCGTAATTTCTTGTTACAGAGGTTCTAAACGGCATCTGCAACGCGAGCAAGGAGGAGGAAAGGCGGCGAAAAGGTAAATCTTTCCGATTCTTGCGATCGGATTATTTTTTTTTTTTTGTCTTTATTCGCGCGTACTTACACCGCAAATTCTAAAGTGTCGGTTCAAGGACCGTTGTTGTTGTTCCCGTATCACGTTCAATTGAATCGCGACGACAATTGAATTGTATCTGTAAAAGAAATAAAAAAAAAAAAAAAAAAAAAAAAAAAAAAAACAAAGAAAAGAAAAGAAAGAAAAAACACTAGGCGCGTGTGATAATCCACGCACGATTAAAACACGGCGTACTGGGTTCTGTTCCCAGGTGCAGGCTACCACGAACTATATAACGGTGTTGTCTGCAATGACACGATCCTTGCGACAGGTGTCTTCAGCTCCAAGGAGCTCTGGATGCTTTCAAAAGGTACGACGAATATATCTCTCTTTCTCTATTTCTTTCTATCTCTCACTTTCCCACTAATTTCGAGAAACCATCGCGGCGCTCGGCTTGTCACTATTTTGCATGAACGAATTCTCCTAGGATATCGAAAGTCTCCAGTCTTAAAAAAAAAAAAAAAAAAAAAAAAAAAAAAAAAAAAAAATCGAGAAAGGGTGAAGAGCGTTTTTTTTCCACGCGATTTTCAGTCCGCGATGTTTTCACGGATGCTTTCGAAAGGTAATCAAGCAAGTTCGATATTATCTGGAGAACCTTTTGAAAGCATCCTTTCAGACGATCGAGAACACGATCCGAACGGTAAAGGGAAGTGGTTATATTTAAATAGAGAATATGAAAATTTTTCGATTATCGAGGACCGACGGACGTTCCTTCTGACGGCGGTCTATCGCCTGGGAACGGTCGAGACGGCAAACGGAGGAACGATCGTATTTTTAGAGACGGAATGCGTTTCGCGGTTGCCACTTGACAGTTATCATTTCGACATGCCCGGGTACCGTATCCGACCACTCGTTCGATCATCAAGGACCCGATCAACGACCGGCATACACGCTTCCGTCCTGATACAGATCTAGCCGATTGTTTTTTGTGCAAATCATTAAATGAGGTACTACGAAGGGACCACTGTAGAGATCTGATCGCTGAGTCTTCTCGGAGTTATAATGTGATCGGTGCATCTGATTACCTCGGACACTCCTGATGGTAGTTTTGGTCGTTCCGATTCCTCTGGTACAGTTTTGATACTTCGGGTACCCCTTCTGAAAATTCTGATTGTTCGGGTACTTCAAGCAATAATGATTCATCGGATACTTCCAGAAGTTCTGGTGCTTCTGGTACCCATGGTACTTCAGTTACTTGGTGTATTTCTGGTACCTCGGGGCTTCGTATATTTCAGGTACCTTGGGTACTTCCTGTATTTCGGGTACCTCAGTACTTCGAATATTTCAGGTACCTTGGGTACTTCCTATATTTCGGGTACTTCAGGTAAATAGTGTATTTCAGGTACCTCAGGTACTTTATGTATTTCACGTACCCGCAGGGATACTTGATGTATTTCAAATACCTCGGGTACTCCCATGCATTCTTTAACACTTTCAGACCATTTCGACCATAGATTGTTCCCTCGATGACTTCAACCGCTTCGTGTACCACTGGAATTACCAGAATTCCAGCGGCAGCGATGCATATTTACCTCAGGTCCAGACGCTTCCACCCAGAACGTAATTATCGTGTACCACCGTACCCGTTGTACACCGCCGCGCGTGATCCATCGATACTGTCTGGATCGGCAGGCTTCTAAGCCGATCTCCGTCGAAACAAGCATGATCGTGGCACGCGTGCATCGCCGTTAAATGGAATAATAGGGCAGGGGAGCGCGTATCGAGAAGCGGCGTGAGCCTCGACGTATGCATCTGCACTCCCCCTCCTCATCCACCACCTCCTCCGCCACCTCCCTCCTCCTCCTTTCGCCATCCTCCCGTTCCCTCCCCGTAATCCCCCGCCGCGTCACCGTGGCAGGAGATTAGTATGCAACCCGGTGTATTAATAGACGGGGAACAATGCTCACGGCCTCAGAGGCTGCTGAGAGAGCCTCGCGTAGCCTCTCTTTCTCTCGAGTCACTCCGTTCTCCCACCCCATCAGCCCCCACCAACCCCCTCCTCGATGTGTCCTCCACTCTTTCTACGGGCTGACTGAATCCTCTTCCCCCGTTACCGTTCCGTCGATCCTCCTTTCTTCTCTCGATCCAACGCGTCGTCTTTTTTTTTCTTCCTCCATAGTATTTTTTTTTTTTGTCACCGTTTTTGCGATCGGACAGCTCACTTCGGATTCAACGGGGTGGGAACAGGATTGATTTTCAAGGGGTGCCTCTTCGGACAACTGCGTCTTTGATCTCTCTGGCCACTGTTGAGATTCGGGCGGAGGGGTGGGGGTAGGGTAAATCGCTGGTGGATATGTGGTCGTTAACAGTCTATAGTTCCACTCTCTCAGTCGACCCATAATTCCGGCGAAATTCTACGCAAACTGTTCAAGGAGGTGTAACGACCATGCTTGATGGCCGTGTACCACTCACTGGAATGAGGGGGGTGGAGGAGCTCTATAAATGGGGGTTCTCGACGTGATGTCTGTTTTACGGGCGCAAGATGATCCTCGGTTAAGCGTACATCACCCTGGAGGGGATCTCCCCTCTTGGAACACATTTTCCAATCTGTTCTTAGATGTATCCATAGGTCGAGCAGAATTACTAGTCATTGACAGATTTCAGGGAAGAATTCCTAGCTCGATATGGAACTCGAACGAATTCCAATTAAATTTCAACACTTTGTTCGCTTGGAAATTCGGGATTATACGTTGTTCCGTTCAGGGGGAATAATCGAGTTGCAAAATATATAAATATTTGATCACCCTGTCAATGATAATTTAACGAGATTTTTGGCGTGCCAGAAATAATTCACAAACACCCCATTTTTCAAGACGTTACTGTATCATTCCCCCGAAAGCTTTAAAAGTTTCGGTTTCGTGCAACATTAGAGTTCAAGACTGAAAACTTTTAGGTTAAGTTTCAAGGCTTCGAAAACTCGAGCTCCGTGCATCACTTCCCCACATACAATTTACACAAATCGAGCGTTAAAGACTCGAACTTCCACAGCTCAAGGTTCGAACCTTGAAGGTTCGAGTCTAATAGGTTCTGAACCGCGATACAATCTGCTAAAGCTCAAGACTTCAAGCTCATTTTAACAACACCACCCGGAACAGATGACCATAGCCTCGATTCTACGTTTCCAAATAAATTTCCCTCCCCATTTTCCACGCTCGACCCAACGATCGAAACGACTCCGACCTCCCACTCCTTCTCCATTACTCTCCTCGAGCTATGAAAACGTCCCGCATAGGGTTAACCCGTCCGACGGTATCTCTCGACCATCCCTAGGACTCCATTGCGAGATTTTTTTTTTTTTTTTCGAAAGTTCCTCGTGTTGCCGGTCGAGTGTCCCTCGGCGGGAGGATAGAGAGAGAGAGAGAAGAAAAAAACAAAGAGCAGGAAAAAAAAAGAATCCGTGAATCACGGTTGACCACCCCATTTTCTTTTTTTTGTCAACAATGCACGCCCACACACGTACGTGGCACACACGCGTGTGCAAGTCTGCAGGGATCGAGGGGGTAGAAAAAGGGGGTGCAGCGCCGCAGGGTGGCGCGCCGTGGTGTGGTATTTTCCGGAGGTTTTTCTTTTTTTTTCTTCCACCCCCGTTCGGGAACGACGTAGAGACGGGGAATAAAAAACGAAAAGGGGACTGCAATTTCCGTGGATGATGTGAAATAGAGAAGAATATATCCTTGTCGCGGTGACGTGAATGGCGGGGATATTAGTCGTGTCTGACCATAAACGTATACAGTAAATCCTCGATGAGTGTTTGATGGCTCCTCGGCACTGAGAAGAAGAGGTCTCCGGGTGTAACGGTGACTTTGCAACAGAGATGGGCAAACTCATTATCTAGATAAAATGTTTCGAATAACGAATGAAAGATAAAGAAAAAGTATTTCGTCATTTTTAATTGGTTAACCGTAGAAATTTCAATTTTTATAATAAAAGTATACTTCTTCAAGAATTATTACGATTATGTATTTTCCCCCTTATATCATGGGCTGCCGCTACACTCGCGCGCGTGGCACGAGTGGATAAAGTACAGGAAATCGAGTGATGGTAAATAAAAAAAAAAAAGGAAACAAAAGAACCGTAGAAATTGATCGACCATTCGAAAACATCACCCTCGTCGAAAGAAATTGCGATTCAGGAATCGTAGAATCGAAGCCTGTTTTCCGGGGGTGGAAATGGGGGCTGGGAAACCGCTGAAGCGGAAGGGAAAAAGTGGAGGACGCGTTATGGAGGACGGACAGGATTGGAGGGGAAGAGGGGGGGGGTTGAAAAACGAGAGAAAGAAACCTCGAATGGCCGAAAGGTCGAGTGCACCTGTACCACGGATGGATCCCGTGCGTCAGCGTCCGAAAACCGATCGGAAATTCGTCGCAGACGAATAAATAACCCGTGTGAGGGCTTCCAGAACCTCTCCCATCGCGGTTCGAACTAATTCCAGTAATTAGGAATTTCAGTAATTAGGTCCTAAAATTTCATTAGACCCTCGTGTCGATAGGACAATAACTACTCTTCGCCAATTGAATTCTTTCGACTCGAACACTACCGTTCTATTCGTCTGTCTATCCATGGAAAATGTGACAGCCCTTCGGACTGTGATCAGCTTCTTTTCAATCCTGCCCATGTGATTTTTCACTCGAGGCACTACATAGAATGTTACAGAAGTATTACCACGAACCTCACACCTTTGTAAGGTGTACACATAGTTTCGATTCTCACTGTAGTTCTAGACACTCACTTTACAACCTCGAGCAAACTCGACTTCCACTAAGGGAAACAGTAACGTAGGGAAAGGGCTCCCACCACTTGGTCTCGTTAATTATAGAAATTTATGTCAAATTAACATTCGATTTAACATTTATTTCAGTAGTTGAAATAAATTTATCAAGTAGTAGAAGGCCCTTCCCTTCGCCACATTTTCCCCTAGCGAAAGCCAGGTATGCTCGTGAGGGTACTCGTCCTACGCGACTAGAAAGGTCACCAACTATACACACATATCCCCCTATTTTTCCCGTACATCCCCGCGGCGATATTCAACCCTTTATCTTTCTTGCCGCCCGCGTTCCACACCGAGTAGCATTTAAATTACCCGTCACGGAAACGTGGAATTGGGGGGGGGGGGGGGGGGAGGGCTACCACCGTTCCGGGCATAAAATTACTAGGGACCGTGGGACGCCCCGGAGAGAAATACAATCGGTCGTTCCTCGCGTAAATTACTAGATAGAGGGGGGAGCAAAGAAGTCCAGGAAGATATTCCTGGTCGCGCGCCGGTGTGTCTGTGCGTTTGTGTCTACGATGGCCGCGACGGGGGTGGACACCCTTCCACGGTGAGGTGCCTCGCGATCCAGAGTGTCTGTCTGTGTGTGTCTCTGGCAGAGAGAAAGACAGAGAGAGAGAGAGAGAGAGAGAGAGAGAGAGAGAGAGAGAGGACGCAGGTTTACGAGCGAGTTGCTTACACGGGATGCAAATTCTACCGGCACTAGCTCAACCTAATTGGTCGTTGACCGTCCTGCCATCAAGGGGATGGAGGGGGGGGGGATGGACGAAGGGAAGGGGGATCCCTATATTTACGCGTCGCCAACTGCGACAAACTGGAATCCTATTATTTTACGGAGCCGCTGATTCAGCGGAACGTGTAACTGGAGCGTATTCTAATGGCCGGCCGGCGATTAATTAAACGATCCCCCTCACAACCTCTTCGCCCCCCTCTATCATCCGAACCGGCTCGAAACAACGGTGTTCACGCGGTTACCGTCCGCGACCCCGAGGCTGGAGAGTCACTTTCGATTTCTTGGGACGCGTCGGACCGTGAAATCGAGATCTCGAGAGAAATTTATCGTGTTTCCGTTCGGACATAGACTGTTGGATGAAAAAAGTGAATCGAGAATCTCGACGATACAATTACTAAGGCACTTGTGAACGTTTACACGGATTCTAGTTTCACTGAATTAACCCTTTGCTCTAGCATTTCGTTGACGACTGCACTCTCAAGAATTAATATATCGGTAATAATTTCCCAGATAGAAAAATAATTCTATTCTTGTGGCAAGTGTAACATTTACTGTAAATCTTAACTTTGATTTAAAGAACTGGAAATGTAGGGGGTTGGCAAAATCCAATATTTTTCTTGTAATGTCGGGCAAAAGCCATATTTTCCCACCCCTGGCTACGCCCATGAATATAGTACAACATAGAATAAAATAAATTCCACCGGAAGAAATATTTTAAATTCAGTAATCGTAAACTAAGAAATCTGCAGTCCGTCATTCTGACGGGTTTTGTAGTTCTAGTGTTGAAACGTCCGATCTGTCACGGTTTGGGACACGTCTATCGACGCGTTGAACGATAAAATGGCCTCCCCCGTGGTCTCCCCTTCTTCCACGATCTTTGAAATTCGCCGAAAGATCGTAGAAGGAGGGGATGAAGTTTCCCCAGGAGGAAAACGCGCGGAAGTGCGATTTCCTCGCGGGTAATCGGGCCGCAATAAGACGAACACGGACTACGTAGAGACGACTGCGACGACTGCGACCGACCACGACGAAGAGGACGACTAGGAGGAACGGATGACGTACGAACGCGCGAGTATCCGTAACCGCTAATGTGTGTCTGGTTTCAGCGTCCATACTGCATGACCTCAGCGACATGCAGCCTCAAATAAACGCGATCAAAATAGAGCACCCGCCGTACTACTGCAGCAGCTACACCCCTCCGTCCGCAGCCACGGCCGCGGATCATGCTCAACCAGCGGCTAGCTTCAGTGAGTTTCAAAACCTGTACACCACGTTTTTCACCCCTTATTTTTAGCGGACCGGTACACGGACGCATACACACGAGTTGTCTGAACCGATTCCACCGCGAACGGACGAGCCGTCGCAGCAGCTGTCTCGAGAACGATCGGTAGACCGATCGGTGGACCAGTTGGGAGCTTAAGTAGAGCTGAGACATTGGGATACGGTCTTGTGCCGAGCGCTCAGAAAAGCTTGAGACGCGTTTGGTTCTGGGTTAGGTCACTGGGTATATTTTACACGAGGGGAATTTTATTCGTGACTTAAGTGCAGCTGAGAATCGGTGTATAGTCATTTTGAAATTCTCAGCGGGGGTCAACATGTGGGAAAATTGCAGGAGGTTCGATTCGTAACGCGTCAGTCGTAACGGTTCGACGTGTTTCTGTGATCTGTGGACAGATTGGAACATGGTGCACCGAATCACAATGGTCACTGGGTATATTTTACACGAGGGGAATTTTATTCGTGACTTAAGTGCAGCTGAGAATCGGTGTATAGTCATTTTGAAATTCTCAGCGGGGGTCAACATGTGGGAAAATTGCAGGAGGTTCGATTCGTAACGCGTCAGTCGTAACGGTTCGACGTGTTTCTGTGATCTGTGGACAGATTATAACGTGGTGCACCGAATCACAATGGTCACTGGATATATTTTACACGAGGAGAATTTTATTCGTGACTTAAGTGCAGCTGAGAATCGGTGTATAGTCATTTTGAAATTCTCAGCGGGGGTCAACATGTGGGAAAATTGCAGGAGGTTCGATTCGTAACGCGTCAGTCGTAACGGTTCGACGTGTTTCTGTGATCTGTGGACAGATTATAACGTGGTGCACCGAATCACAATGGTCACTGGATATATTTTACACGAGGAGAATTTTATTCGTGACTTAAGTAGAGTTCAGAATCGGGATATAGTCGTTTTGGAACGCTCAGAAGCATCGACGTGTAGGGAAATTGCAGGAGGTTCGATTCGTAACGCGTCAGCCGTGGCAGTTTGACGCGTGTTGCGATCAGTGGCTGATTGTACCGCGGTGCAACGAATGGCGATAATGCCTACAGGGTATGCCTCACGCGATGAGAACTGTATTTGGGTAACGAGAGAGAAAGAGTTAGGTGGGACATCCTGCATTAGAATTATTGACTGTAATTGCTGTATATTTTTTCGCGATCGAATCGACCGAACTTTAGACGTATATTCTCGAGTACATTCTACGATAAATCGATAGCCGTGAGCAGTACTCCGGCGATCCGAATCGATCAGCGCCGAAGCTGGGGGTTTAAGTAACAAATTCGCAGCGGTCAGAGGTTGGACGTTTTTTTCCCTCTCTCCCTTCTTCTACCCCGGGTTCAATCTCATCCGGCGGCTTATCGGGCCGTTCTTTGTTATCGGGATCTACTTTGCTCAGCGTTCTATAGATCATTTTCCCTATATTTCTCCCTTTCCGTTCTCTATTTTCTTTCTATTCTCCGTCGGCCTCCCTTTATCACGCCCTCCCACCCTCCTTCCCTGGCCCTCCCCCTCACTCCTCTTAACTCTTTCATCGATCAAACGATAACCCCCGCCGGAACGGGAAGCCCCTGGATGGAGAGATGAAAAAGAGGAATAACTTCCGGTTGGCGGAGACTTTTTCCAAAAAAAAAAAAAAAAAGTCAAGTAGAATGGGTGGATTCACGGAATCGCTGAAAGTAGTTCCCGCGCTAATTTCGAGATGATAAAGAAACAGTTCCCATACCCTCTGTGAGTATTTGTTCCGAAGAATTACCCCCGGTCTCGGTGCATAAAAACCTGCATTTAAAAGTGTATCTGCACAGGCTATATATCGAAGAATAAAATCCTCTATTAATATGGAAATATTAGGAAATCGCGAATACGCGATAGAGCTTCGAATGAATTTCGCCGGCGCAAGATCTACAAGAAAAAAAAGGGGGTGGAAACACGCGAGAAGATAAATAGCGCGAATGGGAGTGGGGAGGGGGATTGAAGTAAGTGGCTCGATCAGACCCAGGGCCGAAAAGTTTTGACTTTATGCTATTTTAGAGAGGGTGGCCGTGGGATAGGAGAGGGAGAAGGGGGCGGCAACGCTGGCGGATAGACGGAATTTACGGACAGAATAAAATGACCACTTTCTCAAGCAAAATATACACGGAGAAAAATTTCCCCGGCAATAAGCATACCTGGACCATCGCCAAACCCCGTTCGCCATTCTCTGTGTGCTCCCTTTTTATCATCGTATACATACGTTGCGCCTTTATGGGCGGCGTAGTCACGGGCAAGAGGGTTCGCGCGGCTGATTGACTGTATTGTCGTTAAATTAGACGGTGGAACCCCGCGTAAATATCAGCCACCGGCGGGCGAAACGGCGAACTAATTTTATGACCGTGTGAAACGGCCGTCTCGTGCAATTTTACCGCGCACCAGGAGTATCATTCCGTTGGTCAAGATGCTGCTGGTACACGATCCATCCATCGAATCGCCGTGCAACCCCTTCTTCTTCTTTTGCTTCCGGGATTAACGCCGCCTAGCCTTGGGGAGCAGCCGACACGCTTCTGTGCCAAGGACACCGACACCACTTGTGTCCGTCCGATTGATCTTTTCTTCCTCCTGTGCACGCGTACAGTGTACACTCTCTTACGGAATGTACTACAGGGTGTGGCTCCAGAAATCGTACAATTGAGACCATAGTTGCGACTCGAATCAGCTGCTGCGTACGATAATCGACAAACATTTCTTCGAACCGACGAATTTTACAGTAATGTCTCGATAAGTCCGACGTACTCAATTTCAGAGCATTCGTGACAAGGCGAAAAGGTTTTCAGCCCCTAATAAATTTGTTTTCTACCGGAAACCGAGCCTGTTTATTCTTTTTTGATTGCTTCATCGAGGGATCGCTGTATTTTGATTTTTACCACGTAGCCGAGTGGTAAAATTTTTATTCTCCAATGTTATTTTATGTGTTTTTTTACGGTTCTTTGCGTAGGCCCGCCACCGGTGCACCAGCTCATAAGGAACGACAAGACTGAAAAGCCGCCGACGGTTTCCGTTTCGAGCGCGCCCACCTTCTCGCCGGTTCTCAGGCCCGAGGACGGCCATCGGGGAATGGATTCGCCGCATTCGCAAACTGGTATGTGATCCTGGGAACCCTAACACGTCGTATATATATCGTGATCTCTCATACATCGCCCGTCCTTGCGATTAACGTTACAGGCCTGTTCAGAGCTGAATGCTCCTTAGGCGAAGGGGAGGGGTGTTCCCCTTCTGAACCGAAAATCTCGCGGCTCTTCTACGTTTCTCTTTGTTTTTTTTTTCTCTATAGAAAATAACAATGACAAATATGTAATCGTGTTAAATTCGTTTAGATGTCAGGAGATCTGTGAAATGAATATATTTAAATTCTGGAGGATCAAATCGAAACCGCCCTTAAATATTTGAATGGCGAGAAAGGGAGTTCTATCGAACTGTAAAATGTAAAAGACAAAAACATATATAACGCAAGGGTGATCTTTGGATCGTTTCCAGTCGAAGAAATCTATTTTTTAGTTGCTGCAGGGGGTTGTTTCTCCCCTTGCATGATGCAGTAGATATTCCTTGTGCTTGATCGTTAGTTAAGGAACCGTGAAAATAATCATAATTCCGTACCATACGTGGAGTAACGATGTTTCTTTCTTTTCTTTTTTTTTATCGAATATTCCACGAGGAGAGCCGCGAGGTTCTCTGTTAGTCGGAACGTGGCGGCGAGCGTCGTTAGGCGTCTTAACACGTGGTGGCAACCGCTTTAGGGGTTGCGCGCAGGGATAGAAAATCGATGAAAAGGGTCCGTTCAATCGTGCCTGGCCTGTTCAACCCAATAATTTAACTCTCACGGTATTTTACTCTAGCAATAAGATTGTCTAGTCGAGTATCAGAAACGTTCGTCCGTACAGGGTGTGACCTATACGTGCTTGGAAAAATACATACAGTAAATTATCGATGAGTGTTTGAAAGCTCCTCGGCGCACTGAGCATTCAGATATCGTCCCCGCCACTGGGAGGGTCCCGAATGGATCCAGTCATGCACTCAGTAGTGGGGATGACGTGTTTGAACACTAAATGTCTGGGAGCCTTCGAGCACTCATCGATGATTCACTGTATATCATGAATACAGAGAAAGGGGTGGTAATATTGCCCCAGTTTTATATTTCTTCCGAAAATCTGATCTTCCTAATTTAAACTGCTTCGAACTTTCGTTAAAAATATAGATGAACTAATAAAGTTATGTATAGATAACAAGTGAAACCAAAAGAAAAACAATTTAAGTGAATTCAACATGTATTACGGAAATATTTAAATCTGGCCCCCTCTAACGAAAATCGTAAAAATCAATCCTTTGGTACCATTCGAGATTTCAGTCGAGTATATAACAAATAATATATGAACAAATAATCGCAGACATGTTCCTATTGTTCGTGCGATGCCCACTCGGTGTGTGCCCGTAATCCACATACAATCATCGATGATTCAGTACGTACGTGAGATCAATATGATAAAAACCAGGTGCACAACGAACTCTTTCTCTCTCTTTTAAACCTGCGACTCCACCCCCCTAAAGCAGCCACCCCCACGCGTCACGACACACCTCGTCAGCCGACTTACGAACCTGCTCGACCGCCTAGTTAGATATCTAACAACATCTTGCAAAACCGTCAAATTAATCCCACCCATCGTTAAACGCAAAATGAAACTATTGAAAGCGTGTTTTCTCTTGGTTGCGTTTTGATCGTGGGGAGAACCAGTAAGTATTCTCTGCACACCGTAATGCACGCAGTCGTTCGAAATATCACGAGACTGAGAAACCAAATAATATACATACAACCAGTGCAGAAAAGAGTGTTTTCGCGGAGGAACAACAAACGAGAATAGACGAAACCCACCAGAAGGACTGTCGAACGAGGTGTTCTCTCCTTCCCACCACCCCTCAACCCCTCACTTCCTTGTCCACGTCACGTTCCCATCTCCCGTCTTTTTTCGTTCCTCCTGGAGCAGGAATTGTCCTTGAATCGACCTTGAATTAACCCTGAATCGACCTTGAATTAACCTTGAACTAACCTTGAATCGACCTTCGACAGATCCCTATCCGTGTACCCCGCGGCGCTTCAGTTCTGTCGGCCTTTTTGTTTTGTTCACTAACAAACATCTAACAACAACCGCGGATACGCACGTTCCCCGCTGATGGTGTCGAGAACACCAACACCTATGGATGTACCGGAAGCGACGACGACACGTCGCTCAGTAAGGAGACAAGCGTTCGATCGAAAAACTTTTTTTTATCGTCCCGTTCTCGCTGGCCTCCGTTTCAACGGTCACGAAATCTAGCCCTCCTACGATAACCGCCGCGTATTTTTCTGTTTCCCCCTGGACGATCGAACAAGGTGCAACAGTTTCAATGGGGTGACGATGGTGTCCCTTTGATTCTCGATTCGAAATTCCCGCCGTTTCGATTGTAGTTCCTTCGGGGTTCTCGTTGCGATTCCTGTTATTTAAAATATTGTACCGCTTGAACTTTGTTTCTCTTTGGGAGAAGGGTTGTCGTTCTTTAGTTTACTTCTTTTTATTCTTTAAAATAATTATGCTTGAATACTGTGGGAGAGTCAGTATCAAATCTTACGTTCTGAATTGAGAGATATAGATACGAATGAATCCTATACATTCGAAGTGTGTATACAAAATCCATCTACCTTGCACCGTTACAATTATTCAATTCCTTTCCATATTTTTCCCCAAGAATTATCGCACACCCCCGGGCCCCCTAAATATTAGAACACCCCGTGCACCGAGTTCGAGCGCGTCCAGGTCGGATTCGAATGTCCAGTGTGCGATAGACCCAAACTGAGCTCAGCCAGACTATCCATGTAAGTAAATCGATCCCTGGACGCTGGGATATCTCCAGAATCGATCACGATCCCCGCTCGAACGATCGATAACCGCCTAGAATGGCGAACGACGGTTAGGGGTGTGGGGGTTGCGAATAGGACGAGGACGGATCGATCCTCTCGAGTCCGACCGTGTCTCGTTTCGCTCGTCTCGCCTCGCTAACCCACTTTCGGAAATCGCCGTGCGGATATTTTAAATCGCGCGAGAACCATTTCCGCGTGAAACGTAGCAGAAACTCTCTATCGATAAAGTATCGTTTCGATCGGCAGCAAACTTACCGACGGAGAGGACACCTGACATATTGTAATCCGGTCGAATAACATCTATCTCTACCAGACACTCCCTTTTGTAAAAAGAAAAAGAAAAAACGAACAACGCGTATTGTCTAGTCTAACAAGGGAAGGCACGGAAGTGTCCCCCTCCGATTTTGATGCAACTTCGAATGTCTGTTGAGCAGTCAAAAATAAGGAATACGTATTTTTTTTTATCGGTTGTGACGCAGCTTTAAAGGGTGAAACCACCCCTCGAAGTTTCGATCAGAAACCTTTTTTGTTATGAACGAATTATATTTTGGACAATTTTTTAGCACCATATTATCGTACATAAACAATCGCGAACCTCGTCAATTAGAAATTTTCATGTATTTCCTATGGGGTGGTTTCACCCTTTAAAATCGCGTCCCAGCCGATAAAAAAAATTACGTATGCCTTATTTTTGACTGCTTAACATACATACGAAGTTTCATCAAAATCGGAGGGGGACACTTCCGTGCCTTCCCTTGTAAGGGTTTTTAAGGGTGGAGCCTGGTATATCAAATTTAATTTTTGGGAATTTCTTGTGAACAAATTATTAAATCCATCTCTTTCTAACTTTGTGAATACTTTATGGTACAATTAAACGAAATAGAAAAATTGTTCACACCCAATACATACACGTGTCAACCATATTTCGATGACGTTGTGGGGCAGTCGAAGTGTTCGACTAATTCGTCTGTATTTTACTTAATCAATCGGTTCCACGCGTACCATTTTCTACACTGTCGGTAACCGAGAAGAGATTAATGCAGTTATACCAACTAGGTCGAACTAGCGAGTCGAACTGTCGTTACCCGTAGTAAATCATGACACGGTCGCGGTGTGTGTAATCGTGGGAGAAGAGAATGTTCCGAAATTTTCGCGATCTTCCCAAGAATTCCCCGTCCGCATGAAAACAACGTGTACATACACACACTGGCACACACATAGTCGACAGAGAATGATCGCCAACCATGTATCCAGCGCGAAATCCACTTCGAAATTAGCGATCGTGGCCCGGCTTGAAAGTAGGTCAGTGGGGCTATAGCGCAGCGATTTTTTCGACGGGCGTTAAACGAGACCCCGAAGGACGATCCCAGAACCGTGCCCCCTCCCCCCTGCTTCGCGGGATAAAATTGCTTCCGGTTCGATGGATGAAAACATCAGGTACACCCTCACGAGTAAAAAAGACTCGGGTTCCGTTAAGGAAAAGAAAACAGCGTAGACGCAAAAAGACCATCATACCACTTGGTAAATTTTCGTTTCAAGTTGGATAAATATCCCAATTACTGCCAGTGTCTCTAATATTGCCAATAATTTACTTTACTGAATAAAATAATTGTGTAACATAAAAATTTAACGCTACAATGTTAATGTGGCAGTAAGTGGGACATCTACCCTATACTGAAATATAAATATTAAACCTAATGTTAATTTGCATGAATTTCCGTAACTCCCAAGACCAAGTGATAGAAGGTCCTTCCCCTACGCCGATTTTGTCCCCTAACGGAACTCGAGTTTGCTTGTAAGGGTACCATATACAGGATGGACCACGAAACGTGGATCAGCTTGGATTATTCTATTGCTAGTTCAATCGAAACATTTTTTATGAATTCTTAACACGTGAATGAAGAAACAAAAAGACAACTCGAAGCAAAAACTTCGATCGAAAGGAGAACCTGAGGAAGTTCGATATACTGTATATAAGAGTGGAGATCGATCGAAAGCTGGAGAATCCGGGGGATCGCGAGCGAGACGGTAGGAGAGGTTTCCTAGCGATCCGTCCAGGGGATCGGATGTATCGATATATAAATATACCTATATGGGAGGCAGCGATGCATGTTCGCGTGAAAATGACGCGTCTGATGATCTCTGTTTCAGTCTGAGCCCGAGCGTAGAGAGAAGCTCGCTAACTCGACTAA